CATTGAAAGAGCTTGGTTTTTCGTTTGGTGTATTAATACTATAATCAGCTTTGACTTTCCTAAGGCACATTGAAGGAAATAATATGAATGCATATTTAAGGTCTTAGCTTATGTAACATAGTGATTTATAGCTAGATCTATGAGTGCTTAAGTTGGGATAAATTACTTTGAGAATGGATGAAAGCTAAATACAACTTTTTTTTTTTTGGTTGAATTGGTTTCCTGTGAAATGAGGTATGAAAAATTGAAGCTAAGTTAATAATTTGGGTTTTGATGGAGTTTCATTGAACTAATCTAGGTTATCGGCTGTTTAGCCTCCAAGTTTGAAGAACGCTTCAGATGAGAAATTAGGTCTCGCTGAATCTACTTCTGGCGCCTCTTTCCTCTCAGCAATTATTGTTAAACCTCTTGATGTTGCCAAGGTAAATTTTTTTTATTTTTTTTATTTTTTGGTTCATATTAACTTAGCTTAGCTTCATTTTTCCTTATATATATCTATATATCTACTGTGTTAAAGCTTACAATGTTCATATTACGACCGTTAAGGAAATCAGAAGCACAAATGCATTGTAAGAAACTTCTAATTAGAATGTTATGTAGATATATCTATATGTAGATATGTATATATAAACTAATCTTATATTGTAAAAAAATTTTAACTTTTTGTATAATACAATAATATTTTCCGCCGCAACACATGAGTTTTTGGCTAATATAAAGTATAAACTATTATTACATGAGTTCTTTGTTCTATATATTTATATATGTAATAAGTAAACGATAAAGCAAGCGTCGATATGTCCGAGTGGTTAAGGAGACAGACTTGAAATCTGTTGGGCTTCGCCCGCGCAGGTTCGAACCCTGCTGTCGACGTTTATTTTTTATTTTTTATATAGAAACAATATAAAAGACGACAACAATTCCAAACAGCACAGTTTTATATGTATCTAACAATAAGATTTATTATTAATGCTTTTTAATAGCTCATTAATATTTAATGTATGTATCTAACAATAAGATTTTTAGATTTCTATTGCTGATTACTGAAATTCCCCCTATTATGTATTGTGAGCCACTTTTCCGTTAAAATTTGAACGAGAGGGGATTTTTATTTGAGTAAATTGCACCTGTGCACTCTAAACTATTCACTTTTTGCAGAACGTGCTCCTAACTTTTAATTTTAGTAAACTGCACCTCAAAGAGGTCTAATAGTAGTTTGCATTATTAAATTGACAGTTTGAGACACACAATTTGCACGTGATATGGTTTAAAAAATGACGATCCTCATCTTTTATGTGCGAATCTCATGTCTTAAACCGTCAATTTGATAACACAAACTGCTATTTGACCTCAATTGCAACTAAGTCTAAAGTTCATGGTGCAGTTTGTTAAAATTAAAAGTTTGGGGTGCAACTTGTAAAGAGCGAATAGTTTGGGCTGCACTGGTGTAATTTACTCTTTTTTGTTAATATTTCATTTTTTAAGGAGAACGGATGTTAACTTTTTGATTATCAGAGAATAAAGTGTTATAAAGGTTATAGTTGAAGAGAATTTTTTGTTATTATTATTACAAATAAAGACTTTGAATTTTCATTTATTCTTGAATTGTTTGAGAGAGCAAATTAATTGTTCACTTTAGTAATTAATTTATCATATCTCTTTAGTGGTTAAAAGGACAAAATTGTTGAGCTTACACCCACACACACAACGAACATAGAAGACTAAATGGTCGTTTAGTTCATTGATTTAAATTTTTAATTTAAGTTGATATGTGATTTTATGTGAGAGTTTTTTACTGTAGCAAATAAATTAGATGTGACTGTTTCTGAGAGCTTTTTACTATAGCAAATTAATTGTTCACTTTAGTAATTAATTTATCATATCTCTTTAGTGGTTAAAAGGACAAAATTGTTGAGCTTACACCCACACACATAACGAACATAGAAGACTAAAGGGTCGTTTAGTTCGCTGATTTGAATTTTTAATTCAAGTTGATATGTGATTTTATGTGAGAGTTTTTTACTGTAGCAAATAAATTAGATGTGACTGTTTCTGAGAGTTTTTTACTATAGCATAATTTGAATTCTAAACTAGAATCTGTGAAATAAACGGGGCCTAAAATTGACTGAAACTCAATTCTGAGTCTACAAGAAGTATGAACTATTTAGATGTAATTTATTATTCATAATAACTTGAGTTTGTTCGTTACAATTAATACAAAATTTAAAATTTCGTTCAACGAGGAAGAAACTGAAAAAAAAAAAAGACGTAATTGAAAATTAAAGAATATATATCAGGGGTAAAAGTGTCATTTCAACAAGGATTGTGTTTATGAAGAGGGTAAAAAGTGCAAAATTCTGTTGGTCTTTAGGTGTTGGGCTTTGGCCGTATTAGGTTTAGGGTGTGTTTAGTAAGGGGATTCGTACCCTGATTTGAATCATGGTTCATAGTTCACTATAGTATTTTCTCTCACAAAAAATACACGTAAATTAAAAATGGTTCTAATCTCATGATTCTAATCTATGAACCAAACGTCTCCTTAGTATAAATAACCTCCAATCAATACCCTTGAATTTTCTCCTATATTCAGCTGCCTCAAGTCCATCACTGAACTCACTTTTCGTCTCTTCTCTTCCCCCACCGACCATCACTGTAAAGTGTAAACCTCCGACCGACCTTGTCAATGGCGTTCTCCCAACTTAAGAAATGATAATGACCTTGTTAGTAGCTTAAGAAATGTTTCTTTTTTTTGTTAATTTCAGAAATGGTCCCTGAGATTTACATTCAAACTCACTTTAGCCCATAACTTTTAAACGTTCCACAAATAATCCCTGAGATTTTATTTTATTTCAATTTCGGTCCTTCCATTTCTTAAGCATTAAAATTTGATGGAATCTGTATAAATTAGGGACTAAAATTTAAAACAGCTAACATTTTGAGATAATATGTGAAAATTAACTTTTATTTTTCTATATTCTTTTAGTCTCTAAACTTTGTATGTTTTCAATTTTAGTCCTAATTTCTACATATTTTGTCAATATTTAACACCAAACTAACAAAAATACCAAAATTAAAACAAAATAAAATCTCATAGATCAACTGTGGAACGTTTGAAAAGTCAAACTAAAATAAAATTGAAGATAACCCTTAAGGATTATTCGTGAGATTAACCCTTTCATTTCATTCTTGCTATTTTTTTTTCAATATTTTGCTTTTACTTGTGTCCTTTCTTTGGGGCTGTTCTTTTGCTCTTTTTAAGTTAGGTGACTTGAGTGTAGATTTTGAGTTGAGTTTGAGTTATAACTTGAGTTTTTGTTTGGTTGTGTACATTTGAGTTATGGTTTGAGATAAGAATCTTTTTGAGTTTGTGTTTGAGTGAGTCAAAACTTGAATTTGTATTTAGATAATATTTTAATAAAAACTCAATGCTAATGGAAAATTTTAATAGGGTATATGGGCGGGATTTTATTCGTCTTTTCGTTTTCAACGCATAGAAAAAAAATCATCTCAATCATAATTAAAATGAAAAAGTTATAGCATTTTTAAGAATAGAAAAAATACTGTTTATTAATTTGAGTTCGAGTTTCTGAACTCGAGTTGAAGGGAAAACTTAGCTTGAGTTCAAACTTAAAAGAACATGAACTTGAATAAAGTTGTAACTTGAGTTGTTTTTTTTTTTTAGTTTTTGACTCAAGAAAGTGGCTGGCGAACAACCTCTTTGTTTCTTTTTTTTTCCATCTTGCTCCTATTTTCCAACTTTTTTTTTTTCTGAGGACGGAATTGTAAAGTATAATTTCATACAAAATCAAGAAAAACCGAATTAAAAACAAACTAATATTGAATTCTTGTGTTATGTTGAATGTAGACTACGAAACGTATACTGTGAAGGTTTCATTTTTCTTTTTTGTTGGCAGGAGATCTATAAATTAGTTTGACTCAAAGATTAAAAAAAATGATAAATTTTATTTTTGCTCCCTGAACTTTAGTTTTTTTGTCATTTTGCTTCTCAAATTTTAAAAATTAGAATGTGCACCAACCGAACTTTGAAACTTTATTAATTTTGCCTATTCTGTTAAGTTTATTAACATATTTGATGATGTGGCTAGATTATTTACATAAATACTCTCTAAAATATGTACTTTATTTAAAAATGTGCCTAAAGTATGTAACTTATTTAAAAATACCCATATCTATAAAAACATATCAAAATGACCCTTAATTTATAAAAAAACATAATAAAATAACAAATTTTTTGATGCCATTAAAAAATAATTACACATATTAAATTCTAATGATATCAATGAAGTGATTAAATATTAAAAATAATAAATAAAATGTAAAACGCTTTACTTTAAAGAAATTCAAAAATTAAATAAATCAAAATAAAAAAAAACTAAAAAAAAACCCAAAAGTAAAGAGGAAATTTTTTTTTTGAAATACCTACTTCCTCTTTGTCAATATTTATTTAATTTTGAAAAATTTTCCTTTTTTTTGTTTTGATTTTTGAAAAAAAAAATTATTTATATCATTTTTTAATTTTTAAATTCAAGTGTTTTATATTATTTTTAATATTTAATCACTTGATTTAATTTTAAATTAATAGGTTTAATTAATTTAAAATAACATGCGATGTTATTTTATTATGTTTTCTATCGATTAGAGACATTTTGATCTGTTTTAATAGATTATGAGGTATTTTTAAATATAGTACATACTTTGAGAGGCATTTATGAAAATAATATATTAAACTGCGCCTTCAATAATTGTCACGTTATCAAAATCGTTAACAAAATTACAGAAGGGACAAAGTTAATAACGTTCCAAAGCTCAGGGGTGTGTGTGCCAATTTTTAAAGTTTGAAGGGTAAACTGACAAAGAGACCAAAGTTCAGGGACAAAAATAAAATTTATCCTAAAAAATAATCAAAGTTGGTGTCATGTATTTAGCGACTAATTACAAAACTAACCCTCTAATTATATGTCATAAGCGTAAATGATTCTCCTCCCTGTTTGGGAGCTAAGAAAACTGAACGGGGGAGAGAAGAAAATAGCTACAAAGTTTTGAACTTTTGAGCAACCAAGCGGTTAGATTACACTCTGAGAGATCAAAAAATGGAAGAAAAGGCGGTGAATTCAATGGCAATAGCGAGCCTTAAGACGACGCAGGACCTAGCAATGGAGGGGCAGAAGCATCTTGAAGACACCATAGAGTCGGCTTTCCAGATCCTCTCCTCCATGAACGACGAGCTCTGCAACCCCGCCTTGTGGTCCACCACCACCACCGTAGCCGCCGCCACTTCCTCCTCTTCTCCTTCCTCCGCCGCGAACGGCCCTTCCTCCCACTCCAACGGCCTTGTCAATGGCGACGCCGCAGCTTCCGACTCCCATCATCACGCCGATCTCGGAGGCGGCGGAGGCGCCGCCGGAGGAGCGCTTGGCGAGGCGCAGTTTCGGTATAAAAATGCCGTCGCTTCGCTGCGTGCCATTCTCGCCGCGATTCCCAATTCCCAAAGAGTAAAGCTATGAACTTTTTTTTTTCACTTGAATTTGTTCACTTTGCTATTTTTCTTGTCGAATAGTCAAATTTTGGTGCTTTTGAAATTATTCGATTTCTAGGCTTTTATGTGAATTGGGAGACTTTCAAAAGGATTAAATTTGTTTTTCATTCAATTTTGGTGAATTTGTTGTTTTTCTTGTTAAATAGTCAAATTTAGGTTTTTCTTAGGCAATTTCAGTTTGTGAGTAACATAATTCAATTTCTAGGTAAGTAATATGTGAATTGGGAGAATATCAGAAACACTGGACTCCATTTAGTTTGTTGATTTAAGTTTTTAATTCGAGTTGCAACGTGATTTACGTGAGAACTTTTTACTGTAGTAAAAATGTTAGATGTGACTGTTTTCGAGAGCTTTTTATTGTAACAAAACTCGAATCGGTAAAATGAACGAGACCTAAAATTGACAAAAATGAAGATTGGCCGTGATAATCAGATTTGATAAAGGGATAATGGAGTCTTGGGAAATGAAAAGATTGGAACTTTTCTAGTTGACCAAACAGCTTACAGAAGTTTATGAGAATAGAGGATCAAATTGTTTCTCTTTGAGTGTTTTACTATATAACAAGACTAGCTAAGCCCTTTAGAGAGATTTTAGTAAGATGGTCAGTGTTTCTCTCTAAAGATATGATCTATTGTAGTGCTTTTCTAGTTATTGCAAATGGTGAAATACTCTCTAAAGACATGATCTTTAGTGTTTAGTTTCTCTAAGCCCATTTGACTCATTGTTTGCTACATCGATTTGTTGCATATTTTTTAGATTTTGTGCATATCTAGATTATACTGGTTTCTATATTTTGCATATGTGTTTCTATATATGTGCATTAAGAATTTGCTCCTTTTTTTTCGAAATAGGGAAGAACATTTGAAACAGGAACAACTCCAACTAGTTCAGTAACCCCAGCACAAGAAGTAGAAATTGAGAAGTTAGAAGAGCGAGCCTCAAATCTGAGAACGGTACTATCTGAAAGTTAGTTTGTAAAATTTTCACTCTCTCTGAACTTTCTGGGAGCATATAGCCCTGTGTGCTCATTTCGAATATTTCTGCACTAACTTTCTAGTGATTGTGTCTATGAACTTAGGAGCTTGCAAACAAGAATGCATATCTCAAGATCCTCATTGATCAGCTACGGGACCTTATTACTGACATATCTACTTGGCAAAGTCCTTGCTCAGTCTGACTTCATGATAGATAGACGAGACTTCAAAACATTGTTATAGGTTCTTCGTGATTGATGTCCAGATGATTATTGAGACTTTTCTTGCTAAGTCTTTAACATGTATCTGAATTAAGGGGAAAGGTTGTCATTATAGAAAGAAGGGAAAAAAATAACTTCAGAGATATTCTCAATTGACTTACATGGTGGTAAACAGTGTATGTTTGACATGAATGTATTTGTAGAAATAATATTGTGATAGGAAATCATTTATCATTTATCATTATCCTGTTTCAACCCTCGTTCAACTATGTTTAAGTTTTTTATGCATGCACAAAATTTTCTTTAGGATCTTAAAGTATTTTTTACGCATGCACGAAATTTTCTTAAGGATCTTAAAACTATTATTTGAATTTGCTCTAAATTGCCTCTTTTAAGTTTATCTATTTGCTAGTTTGCCACAAACCATATAAGACCATTGGGTCTATGGAGTGCTTGAGGAGAAAACGTTTCATATGTGTTCCATCTGGAATTATTTGCCTAAGAAGTCCAATTGTTCTAAAACCTTCTAATAGCAACTGATATGAACATTTGGGCTGACAATTTGATATCTCCATTTGAAAATTTTGTTAAGGACGAGGAACTTGAGCTCATAATTCTGAATTCGATTTAAGTCAGTTTTCGACAAAAGATACTAGACAAAGCTGCTGCTGTGACTCAGAACAATGTAAAGCAAGATATTTAACACAATAAACACACCCCATATAACCAAGAATAAAGCTCTCCAACCCGCTTACTTTGCTCGACTTTTATTGCAAACCATCACATTTTCAATAAGAATACACAAATACCTAAACTCTCTTATAAGGGACACCATCACCTAACATATGTGGTATATAAATATGAAGGTTGAAAGATCCAATTTCAGTTGTGGATGGAGGATCTGGTTGTGAGTGATGATCTCATATCTACAATTGCTGACTCATCTGCCCCCAACTTGATGGCCTCCTTGCTTGCTCTTATGAACCTCGAAACCGCACCTTTCGCATACTCATGAGCTTCCTTCACGCTCATCTTCTTGCTCATTTCGTCCGGGAAGCTGCTCAAGAAGTGGTCACCATTGAGAACCGCAGCCAGCTGTACTACCTCGCCTTGGAACTCGGATAATCCACTGTTTTCTTTCGCTTCTGTGGTCCTCAGAGGTGTCACATCCGGCAATGTCTCTGCAATAACGTTCAAGACAAATTATAATTAAGTTGACAAGTATTTGTTTTCAAGTGTTGAACATGTTGAAATGAGGAGAGCTCAAAAGGGTACCAGGGCAGTCAGTTCTGGGAGAAGTCAATTCGCTAACGACATTTTCGAATGTCCCGGCCCATGCATCTCTGTGCGTCAAGAAGTTAGAGCGGAGGTTGAACATCTTCTTGATGGTGGCAGGAATTGAAGAATGCTCGAACTGTGAATCTGGTGTTGGTCCCTTTGGGCCACTTACAACTGTAGAACCAAATTGTATAATTAAGTACAAGCAAAGTGGGAAAAAAAATGAAGTCAGAAAACATAATTCATTTTGTCAGTTGATTTACGTAGTTCAGTTGCTCGTTAGAATATACTCAATAAAGTTGATACTTGATACCGATCAAACCACTATTAGTTTCAACTGTTGCAGCATTCTTTAATCAATGTCAACTTCAAGAAAAATGACCTAACACAATAACCACCTAAAGATAGTCTATTATTACTCAATCCACAAAGTAAAGCAAATAAAGAACAATATTTCAACCCTCAAAAAATCCTACTTTTAAGTTAGCAACTAAATAGGGCCCATCTACCACAAAAACATGCAAATTTCTTGAACCAGTTCATGTTAAACAATGTTTGCTTCACAAAAATGCTTAAGAGAATTGTTTACAGGTAGTGACAATCTACTGGTATGACACAATTTTCAAATCGTCCTCAAGTTCTGTTAAATTATCATACTTTTCTGAATCAATAGGCTCTGATCTGACAGCGGGAAAAAAAATCCTATCAATACGGTACTTTTTCATACTCTACTGCGGAATTTTCCAAATGTTTAATTAGAATATTTCCTGCATAAACTAATCATTAAGCAATGAAATCTAAAAAATGCCAAAGAAGATTAAGCTCACCAGTCCCTTTCTTGATCCAAGGAGAGACCATAATCGTCGGCACACGAACTCCGAGCCTATCAAACTTGAAGAAAGAGGGCGCAGGGCCAGTGTTCCCATCCGGGCTAGGAACATTGACATAAGGAGTCTTGACATGGTCAAAGAATCCACCATGTTCATCATAAGTAATCACCAAAAGCGTCTCATTCCACTGAGGACTCGCCCGCAACGTCTCATAAACCTCCTTAACCAACTTCTGCCCATTGGCAACATCATGAGACGGATGATCGTCGTTCGCCGGCAAGCCCTTGAGATCAAAGTATCTCGGCTCAATCACGGTCAAGCTTGGGAGCTTCCCATTCCTAGCATCCTTCTTAAACTTCAAATCAAGCTGATGAAACTTAAAAATGTACTTCAGTTTCCTCAAATTCCTATAAAACAAGGTTGTGGGTATGTTCTGAAAGTAAATCCCAAAGTCCAAACCATTCTCATGAACAGAATCAAATATGGTCTTTTGTGGGTACCCTTGAGCCAATTGCTTCTTGACATGGCTTGTTGAGCCATGAGAAGTTGCGGAGTAAACAAATAGCCTATTGGGTTGTGTTGGACCGGGAATGGAAGAAAACCATCTATCGAAAACAGCAAATTCTCGGACTAAAGCCTCGTAAACGGGTACGGATCCGGGTCTAAATCCTTTCATGACAGTTTCCGAGAGGTTGGGAGACATGGACAAAGCTTGCTCAACAAAACCAGTCATGGAGGGAACTGAAGCAGAGCCAAATACCTGTTGCTCAACGGCCTCGAAAGAGTGCCCGGGATCCGGATCGACGAACTCGGCATCGTCGGTGAAGCAAATCGTTCCGGGTTTCTGGGTTTTGGTGGAAACGGGATTGCATTCTTCACCAGTGACGCCATTGATGTTTGGGTTCACGGATTTCTTCATCCACCCCAGCATGTGATCGAAGGAGCGGTTCTCCATCACCAAAACGACAATGGTTTTGATGGGTTGTTGTTGTTGTTGCTGTTGACCGGAGACGAAATGGGTCGTTTGGGTAGTCCATGAGAGAGTGAGAAAGAGCAGGAAAGTGAAGGAAAATGGTGGTTTGCAGATTTTGGAACCTCCCATTTTGCTCGTCTGTGGAGAAAAAATTGTTTTTTGGCAAATGGGTTTTGTTTCTTTTGGGAAGAAGAATCTAAATTCAAACACTTTTTTCTCAATCTCTCTTAGATATTTATGGTGGAAAAGCACAGAGATCAAAGAAGAGAGAAGTTTCTGGTTTTGTGCACTAGCAATGTGCTTGCTTTTTAGCTAGCTGCTTTATTAGAAAAAAGGAAAAGCAATAATAATGGAGTTTATTGGTTCAAAGTGGATATTTATATAAACACGTTAATTTCTCACACAAAAATCACTCTACTTACAAAACATGATGATTGGTTTCGTGGCTAATTTGGCGCTCATAATGGGTCAAACAGTTCATCACTTTCCGAAAGTTCAGTTTTTACTTGTAAGTGATGACGTGTCACAATAATCACCCAAAAAAAAAAAAACAATAGCATGATTGGCGACAGATATCTATCACGGCAGCAAAAGTCGCTAATCTTCCATTACATTTACATGAACCAGAGAGTGAGAATTCTTTCATATGATACGTAAAAATAGTCATAAAATTATAAAAAGTACAATTTTTAATCATAATATAAACTAATTTAATACAATTTTTAATCATCAAATCAAATTAGCATCGTATTATACTGATACTAAATATAGATATGATAATCGTCATATCAATTTTTATCATTCTCTTAGGAGAAGATGAATTGTCTTTCTTTTTCATTAGTAATTGAGTAATGAACTTTTAAGGGATAGTGATTTTCTATACATAAATTTAATGAGATTCCTTAATTTGGCTATTGAAAATTTGAAATTACTTCTTCCTACTAGACAAGGGAAATGAGTAAGGAAGAATATTAAGTATGAACCCTATTTTGACTAAACCAATGGATGAGAATCTTCTTGCCCATTGTTTTTCTCTATCCTCTGTTCATCAATATTCATTTAATTTCTTGTTCTGCGTGGCAGGTTGACAGAGCAAAAGATTTGCATTGTACTGCGCTGCAAGCTTCTTGTCCGCATGGTGATTTTGTCATTTACAATAACAACTCTATAAAAGGAACAAAATTCCCATTAAACCACACAAAACAAGGCGGTGCTTATTCTTGCCTATTCAGTATTCACAAACTTGCCACATTTCTTCTTATCCTCCTCACCTTTTTAGTGGAGAAATTACAGCATTTTTTAATGGAAATCTTTGGAGAAAAAAAAAATCACAAAATGGCACTTTTTAGGGTAATAAAAATAGTATTTACTACATGCAATTGCTGTAAGATTTGATTTTTCTAAGGCATATCCAATTATCATTATTGTTAATTTTGGGTAAAAATGGCTTAAGCTATGGTCCGCTCGGCTGACCAGTTTCCCCACACGTGAACAACAATCCTTAGCAAACAAATGTATTATGTTAAAAAGTCAACGAGGTTGTTTTTCTTCTTGGAATTAAATTTTAGAGGATAACTAGTCTCGACGCTTGTAGTTATGATGTAGGTCAGTATCATCGCATTGTTAACACAAAAGTAGTGAGGAAAAAAATAACGCACACTCGACAATTAATTAAGTTAAAACCGGAAATGCGAAACTTTAATATATCATATTTGAATAATGTATAGCTAAAAAATAATTTTTATTAACCGTTAGTAAGACCAAATCGATTGTAATCTTTGTTAGCGTAATCATGATTAAATTGAAATGTGAAGAAGAAACCGTAGCCCATGCAAAGCGATAAAATCAAATTTATGGATGAAAAGGAAGACCAAACCATAGCATAATGAAAATTGTTGTATATGAGAAAGAAATAAAAGCATACAAGGTACGAAAATTGGCATGCCATACAAGTCACAAAAATAGTACACAACGGTTACTAATCGCGAATGGCTAACAAGATGCTAATTATTAGTAAACAAAGTGAGGACATAGTTGAGAAATATCAAAGTTACGACACTAGTAATGCCATACAAGTAACGAAAATAGTACGTAATGGTTACTAATCGCAAATGACTAACAGGATGCCACTTATTCGTGAACAAAGATACCAAAGCATTTGAATTTTTTCCGTAGTAATACGACGTTTGGTAGAAGGATTCATTTCCTGATTCGAATCATGATTAGTGGTTCGTTACAGTATTTTCTCTCATAAAAAATACACGTAAATAAAATATGGTTCGAATCACATGATTTAAATACTCCAACTAAACGTTCTCCTCGAGGAAGCCCCCGAGAATTGCTGTTGTTGTCAAGGTAATCTTGGAGATCAAAGTCATGGATGACAGTGTTGCACTAATTAGGCGAACCCATGGTGTGGAGTTGTGGGCAAAGAGTGTCGGCATGTTCTTGTCTTGGACATATAATTGGTGTCAACTCATCGTCTTAACACTTCAACACAACAAACATTCAAGTCCTTAACAACTTTTCCACGACTGAGTATTATACGTCCAACAAATCGAATTGGATTCTATTGTTCAAAAACGCAATTAACCGCTACTTAATCCGTATAATAGTGGGAATATTACTATCACAACAGATTTCATCATTCCACCAACAAAGTTAGCAACAACCCAAATATTTGTTTCGTACCTAAGGTCTGGAAATGAAATTCAAGCAATTTCCATAAATTCCTATTCTAATAGTTGTTATTAACACAAGGAAGATTAAACGATGGTTATTCTTACTCAAAAGAACCTCTCAAACTTTATTATTTGATATGTTGACTCAACTATTTCATTTTCTGTTTAAATAATAATATATTATGTTAGTGGAGCTTACGTGTCAAACAGTGAATGCAAAGAGTGACAAAGATAATGACATAATAGGTGATACTAGTAGCATTCCTCTTCTTAAAGATTTTCATAATGAATGCTTCTTTCTCAAGTATGATGGGAAAAACTGTGAGGATCCAAGGAAAAAAGAAAAAACAAATACCCTGATTGGAATTGTTCTTGTTTTTATTTTTCATGTTTTTCAAAAAAGAAAAAATGAAAACGATTCTAAAATGGTGTTTAGTACAATTAAATACAAAAAATGGAAATAAAAATGATTTTTTGGTTTAGTGTAAAATGAGAGAGAAATGAAAAACGACTTTTAGTCATTTTCGTTTTCTTCTCTCTCGAACAGAGAGAGAGACATTAATAGGTTTTTTATACTGAAAATAATCTCTTGATAAAACTACCAAACACATTTTTAAAAATGATTCTGTCTGAGATTGAAAACGTTTTCATTTTCATACAAAAAACAAATGGTGCGTTTAGAACTCGTTCTAAAATTATTTTTGTTTTTTGTATGAAAATGAAAACATTTTCAATTTCAGACAGAAATCATTTTTAAAAAAGCGTTTGGTAGTTTTATCAAGAGATTATTTTCAGTATAAAAAACTCATTAATGTCTATCTATCTCTGCTTGAGAGAGGAAAAAATGAAAAATGACTAAAAGTCATTTTTCATTTCTCTCTCATTTTACACTAAACCAAAAAAATCGTTTTCATTTCCGTTTTTTATCTTTATTGTGTCAAACGCCGTTTTGAAAATGTTTTTATTTTTTCTTTCTCGAAAAACGTAAAAAATAAAAACGATAACAATTTCAAACATGACCAAAATTATTTTACAATGAGTTCCAAACGCACCCAAATATTCTATACAAAGGAAACCAAGTAACTTGCAAAACCCAATTAGAATAAACGAGTAATCTTATGTGTCTTCTCTAGATGGAAATGCATCAAGGAAGGTTGTGTATATTTTTCGTACCTGGGACAAGGCTTAAATTGGAGAACGATGACCACAACTAGGAAAGGACAAATATTTTTCATACTTCCAAGTTCCAACACGGAAATGAATATAATTGGGACCATTAGGCAGATATTTGTGCGAATTTAACCGTAATTTTTTTTAAATGAGAAAATTACTAAATTAATTTAAATTTTTACCCCTTATTTTTAATTATTATTTTTTTATTAATATAATTATTTAACTAAAAAATATTATTAAAAAATAAAATGTATTTACTAAGATTTTTCTGATATTTTTCTGTCGGTTTGTGGATCCGACCTTTGGTTAATACAGTAAAATATGTCATATTTTTCAACTTTGTTTAGTGTTGGTCACTAGATAAAGGACTTCTTTTTTAAAGTTAGAATTAACTTTTGACTCTAATTCTGCACCAAAAAGGGCTAAAAGAAAAAAAAAGAAAAGAAAAAAACACTGTTGAATCTGTGTCCCCCCACCAGTCATTTTGATGTCTTGGTCGTTGAGTTGAGAAAGTATATCTTATACTTATTCAAAAAGAAAAAAGAAATAAATCCATCATAATCAACTTGTTTTTTAATGCAAAACAACATCTTATTAATCAACTCTATTTTTCTTTGAACAAATAATCAATTTTATGAGTATCCATAATAAGAATTATTTCATTTAAAATAATGACAAAAGTAAATAAAAAGAATCTCACTTCACATGGCGATCAATAGTGAAAGACGTGGTTTATCATATAGACGAAGGACTCGTTCATTTCACCGATTTGAGTTTAAAATTTGAGTTTTACTATAGTAAAAAGCTCTCAGAAACAGTCGCATCTAATTTTTTTACTACAGTAAAAAGCTCTCACATAAAATCACATCTCAATTCGAGTTAAAAATTTAAATCAGTGAACTAAATGGATCTGAAATATTATATATTATGTGTAGAGTGGTTGATTGAGGCGGGAGAAAAGGGTGGCATGTCTCTCGTAGTCTCACGTTCACATTGCCTCACAAGCCATATATTTATGAATGAAAACAATACATAATTTTCTTTATAAAATAATGAAATAAAAGCTCCTTGTCCGTGATGCCAAATCTCATATATTCTTAAATGCTTCACATGCACTCCATTGTCTATACTAAATCAATTGACGGCACCCAAACTCTTAATGCATTGTCTTTGTCTAAGCGCGTATATATATATATATATATATATATATATATAAATGTTATCATCATTTTTTTTTATCACTTTATGTGTATGAATTTTACTATCTCATTTTTTATTTTAAAGAGCGATAAAAAAATGACAAAAAAAATAATATTAATATTATATATATCACGTTACGTTATTAAATTTTTATAGTTAGAGGTGACCCACCGATGAAAAATAATCATTAACAACTTGTATATATATATATATATATAAATTAATAATGACATGCCATTAAACGGTGTCTTGAATTGATTTTCCCTAATTTAAGAATATTGGTGGTTGTTGATGATTCTAGAGTGATCTGTCCACATGTCTGTGACTGTAGTGCCCGAGGCACTAACATTGTAGAGTGGGCGAGCCGAAAGGGTTGAGAGTGATTATAAAAATTATGTATTAGGATAAAATACCCTTCTAATACCACTCAGTTTAAATTGTCATGAAATTTTATCAGACTATGAAAACGATTTAATGGAATTGTAATAATGGAATCCCATCCAAATAAAGTTATGGTGGTTAAAATTATATTGGATTGATAGGTTATTTCTTCGGTACTCACAACAAAATCTTGAAAAGTTTGATATGATATATATGATAATAACAATATTGGGTATGTCTACAGTCCATCTATTGTTGTTGGACGGACCGGTTCGTCCGCTAATTATGGGTCATTGATTGGAATTTGTGCAGCTAGATTTCACTGGTGAATAACTGCACAGGTGTAAGCAGCTAATTATGATTCGTTATAGTATTTTCTTTAAACAAAACACACGTAAATTAAAAATGATTCTGAATCCATGAATCAAACGTCTAAAATTTTGATTGAGATCCCTGGTAGGGCATAAATGGAAAAAGACGGTCGTTGCAGCAGCCGAGATGTTCTCAGAGAAATGTTCACAATTTTGCCAGGGGTCTAAACGGAGTAGGTTAGCGGAGGTGGATTTCGGCTCCCGTGTTCGAATTCAAAGCGTGAGGTTCGTTCGCACTGGGATTTAATGAGAGCCGACGCCGAAGGCGACGAATCAGAAACGCTAAGAAAATTTTTCTTGCAACGATGACAGCGAAATAGTCCTCAACACTCATTTGTGCCCAAAAATGATGATATGAAGTTATGATTTCTTTGATGATCAAGGAATTTGAGGTACATGAACAGATTGTTCCTGGTTATTTCTACAGTCTTCAAAATTCATGAAGCTACAAAGCCAAGGTATAAGCAACAAAATAACAATCCAATAACATAGACAAACCTCCAAATTGTGTAGTAATGAGCACCACAAAAAGAAAGACGTGATTTCTTTTCCTCGTATACAGTATAGTTTGTACAAAAAAAAAATGAAGCACAAGCTGTGCCCTACCCACCAATTCCATTCCAGTCTGATCTCAGGGGAAAAGTTTATTTTGCACTCGGCGAGTCAGTATTAGTTAGTTACCAGCTCTTTTCAAGTATGCTAAAACCCCTAACCCAGCAACTAGTGCGGCCCCAGCTGCAGCGGCACTGTAAGCAGACGCCCACGCCGAATCTGCATGAGCATAATCCAAACTTCCTGAACCCGAATGCCTTCGAGGATCATGCATTCCTGAGTAGTCTAAATGCAGTTTCAATCCCTGCAAGATTCATAATTGAATGTCAGGCTTTATGTGAGCTTAACAGATCCTCACAGAATATTCATTGCCAGTGAGAGATCAAAATGTTTATCAACTAAATGGTAGGGATTACAGAAACTTTTGTTATGAGAACTACTAGTAAAATAAGAGAAAAAGTAGACGCATCAAAATATACCTTCCAACCAGCTAGCCTTGCATGTTCCACAGCTGCTGCAAGATCATTGTCTGATGCCAGCATAACCTTATCATGGTCTTCGTCTTCGTACTACAAGAATGCAACGGCCATTAGTACAACGTAAAAACTAAAGGTTCAAGATGATACCCAACAATTATGTATCGAATAGCTGAAGACGTACCAAAATTTGAGGCAGATTGTTGCGGTCAATGTCATCACCCACTCTCTGAATGATGGAAGTTATGAGGTCTGTCAAACTCCGAGTTTCTGAAACCAGAAGTAAATAACCCAATAAGCAAAGCCAAGTACCAATAATAAGCACATGACTATCGTCAAATGCGGTAGTTAAACCAAAATTAGCGACCTTGTCCAGGAAATATATCCTTGAAAACTAATAAATTTGGTTTACATTTGGCCTAGTGCTAGGAGCAGGGATATTCGATGGAGTTGTAAAATGTGAATTCAAATATTAGGACCAAGTAAAGCTCGGTATGAGGAAACAGTTATGCTCGGAAGCATGGATAGATGAGATGACAGGAGGATCCCATGATAACGATGACTACATTGTCATTAATTGTTTCCTCATTAAGTAGAAGAATCTCATACCACAAGTAAATCTGTGCATTCGACCCTTCTTATCTTGGATTTTAAATGCAAAACTAGTAGACAAGCCCGCTAATGTATAGGGAGAGGATCTTCCAGTCTCCGCTCCATCAGAAGCCAGTTTCAAGGAACCTTCACTGAAACGTAAATGAAAAAGAGTGAACATTTATCAACAACCAGATTGCAAAGTCAATAAAGCTCAAATGAATTTTCAAAAAAAAAAAAAGGGGGCTCAAATACTACATAACATTAAAACATGTACCTCCGAGTTTCGTCATCATCTTCATTGGAGGCCATGGCAGAATCCCAAAACTTCTGCATCATAGTACTTGCAGCCTCATTGTTAACTCCAGCAGTACTTCCAACCTTGTTAGAGAAAGATACAATAAAATGACAATAAATAAAAATATCCAAGCAATATGTATTTCTCCAAGTCCAGGAAAATGACCACATGCCACAAGAGCTCTACGTTACAAAAACATATGCAGGATCTTCTCCCCTTATTATTTTGTTCCGGAAGTTTATATTAATTGGGGAGAATAAATCAAGTTGTGTTCTGATGCCCAGCCCCACTAATGGTCATGCTCTAAATCGGCGGCTTAGCTGATTCATACTGATTCGATATACTCAATAACTAAGGTCTTGTTTGTTTCAGCAATCCTAACCCAACAATTCAATTCGGATTGTTGTTCAAGGTTCAAATTGATGTTTGGTAGACAATTAAATGACGACAATTCAAACCATTAACAATGGTTCAAACCCTTGATTTGAGAATTTACCTCCCCCCCGGCCGCATTCTAACAATCCGAATTGTTTTCTACAGTGAAAACAATTCGGATCTTACTTTTTCTCCCTCATCCCTCAACTTCAAGCTTAAAAATGTCATAACTTCTTCGTTTTTATTCTGATTAAAATGATTTTCTTTTTTAATGTGTTCATAATGAACAGATGGAGGAACAAATCCCCATCCATATTGCATACTTTTTAATGTCATTTACAATGAGGTTTTATAGGACTTGTTATAAAACTCTAATCACAGTTTTTAACACTTTATCCAAACACAGTTCGGATTTTATTCTCAATTCAAATTACAGTTTATTTGTGTATCCAAACACTGGTTCCAACCACAATTCAAATCACTACAATTCCAACCAAATCGTTGAACCAAACAAGGCCTAAAATCCATGATCCGGTAACCATCAACACTTGATATTTGAGCCTTTACCACAAGCCACAAGAAATTCAACTAAGGTATGAAGTATTATTTCCTCAATATAATATGCATTTTCTTTCATGAGTTACATCTCTTTAAGAGAATAACAATTCTATGGATGGAGACTACCGTCTATAAAATTGACGCAAGATTGAACACAAGTAACAATAATCAATATAATTACACAGCAATTAGTTCAAGAAAGGTAATGATTTGTCTTACTGTGGCAACAGCTGCGTGAGTGATGTGAATTACATCAACGACTGAAACTATGTTCCCATCTGTTTTGGAAAATAGATAATACATCGGAAACTACAATGAGTTTTACGCACCAAAAAATAACAAAAAAAAAAAGAAAATGAAAATAACTTTTGGTGAATCTCATATGTTACCTCTATCTACCACGGGAAGGTGCAAAAATTTCCCATCATGCATGGTATGCAGTGCATCAACAATTGGCGTGTCAACAGTAGCACATTCTGGATTTGGAGTCATCACCTGGTAGTCAGATCAAAAGCATACTGCTTAGTAAATTAGATTTTCACAATTTTTCGCTCGTGTACCAAGCACTGGCTCATGCCCTTGTGCCAAAGAAAACGCTCATATTGCAAGAATTTCTATGCCAAGAAAATTGATTGTTTTCACTAGCCACCACTGGTGCATCTCAGTAAAGGATAGATCAAATAACAAAGTTTGATGCTCATAGAGGTGAATACCTTTTCTAAAAGAGTAGACTCTGGAGAAAGATTTTGTGCTATTACCCGCATCAGGATATCCTTTGAGCTGAAAATTTTAAATGTATGATTTAAATTCTTGACAAAATACATCGGTGGGCATCACCCATAAATTATAGATTTATCATCACTTTAATTTTATTATCGCACAAAAGGCAGTGTGATTTGATAAACAAGAGACTTACGTAAGAATTCCCCGAGGTTTATTATCAACCGTCACAACTGCTGAGCTTAATTTCAGCTCAAGCATCTTTTTTGTTGCAGTCAAAACTGTGTCTGTTGGAGCCACTGTTACGACCCTGGAAGAGTAAACAGACTGTTAGAAAAGTACATCGTAAAATTCATATCGAAAAAACAGATGTATGAAATTAACTGATATAACAAAAAATATTACCTACTTTGAACTCTCCGGAATGATTGTGGACAAAGATGGCCTAAACATCCGATCCCGAAGCGTTTCAATAAATGTATTATGACCTGCATATCACACAAAAATGTACGAATATTTAACTTCTTATCTCTCTCTCTCTTTTTTCTTTTTCTTTTTTTTTTTTTTTTGAGGAGAATTCAACTTCTTATCTGAGAAAGACAATTATTAATACTAAAAAACAACCAGTTAAACAATAAGATACTAACTACTAGATGTAAGAAAAACTAAATAATGCTCTCTTTGAAAAGGGAACTAGGATGAAATAAACAGTCTACCAACCAGAAATAGACGTTCCCCAGTGTTTTTCAACACCTTCAACAGCAGCAGCAATAGCCTTCCCTTTTTCAGCTGCCCTTTCCATGCGAGCAATAGCATCGTATAAACACTTTGCTATATCAAGCAAAGCAACGACCTCTCCATTCTCCACAACGGGTAAATGTCTAAATTTTCCTGTAGACAGAGGAATCAGCAATTTCTTCTTGGACAAGATGGAAAGAAGAAAGTAATGCATAGAGACTGAATGTGATTCTGAACCAACCTTGTACCATCTTCTGCAGAGCTTCGACAGCAAGAGTGTCTGAGAGAACAAAAGTTGGGTTCCTTGTCATGACTTTGGAAACAGGAGTCTCATCTAGATTAAGCTCGCGAGCTATAACTCTTGTTGCTATATCCTTCAATAGTACAGCAAAATAGATAAGCCAAAACAAAGTACAGCCTTTAAAATCCACTACAAACACCATAAAGTTGCCGTTTCTTTCTGTTGCAATTTCCATACAAATGATCACATTGAATGAAATAATACCTTATCCGTAAGAATTCCACAAAGCAATGCATTAGAATCAGTTAGCAACAGAGCATCAACTCTACGAGCAGCCATTCGGCGGCAAGCCTCCTGAATAGTTGTATTCTCAGGAACAGTCAAAGCCTTCGAAAGACGCAAACGTTTCACAGTACGCTCTCCTGTTAGTCCCCTGTTCCAAATACAAGGAAAGAAAGAAACTTTCTCCTTATTCTATAACCACAAAGGTCAAAACAAGACTAACCATTATCCGTCTTCCACACCGGTGTATACTACAAAATATATCTTTCTACTCACACCAATGCCCCATTGAACAAGTAAAAAGATTTAACATGCGACAAACAATTAATGAAAAGGAAAACATGATGCAAAGTTGCTGCCTACAATGAATTGTACACGTACATAGATTTAGAGGATTGAAGCTGAAGAGATTTCCGAGCGGAATCGGGACCTCCAATGTCCGCTGATTTCTTCTTTCCATGCGTAGTTGTGCTGGATAAAGACAGACTTTTTCTAGAACCACCACCTTGACTAGCCATCTTCCCCAGCAATCAAGAAAGACAATTATCTTTTTACCTCGTAAAAATCCCTATGACAGAGAATAATCATCAATCAAGTTTCAAACTTTAACTCAACAATCAATCAAAAATAGTAATAAAAACTCGGTTTGAAACTCTAGTTCAATAACCAATGAAAATTAGGACGCAGAAATGAAATTAAAGCTGACAATTTCTGGATGCTTCTCGTTTTCTTGTTGTTTTTGCCCTAATTTCCCGGCCCCAAAACATAGATTCTTTAGGCATTCAGTTTTCGAAGCTAAGTTGACAAGTTCTTTCCTTTTTTGACTTTTCAAAAAGAAAAATTAAAGACAAGGAAACGAAACAAACCTTTTTCAAAGAATCGACTTTAATCTATTTTCCAACCTTTTCTCGGCAACCAAACATATAGAACACAAAAATTAAATAAAATAAACGTCTTCGTGAACTGACAGAATCCAAGATAACCTCTTTCTCTTCTCGTCTTCCAAAAAACGGGAGCTTCGGTTTCAGAGACAGAGATTTTCAACCAAATATCAGAATCCAATAAATCAAACCTCAATCAACAGACCACGAACGGGGAAACTATTTCAAGATTGTCGACCTCGGAAGCTCGGGAATGGATAAGGCTAGAATTGGAGGAAGGTCTGTTAGGAGGTTTAAGAGAACTTTTCTCCGCGAAGATGGAAAGGCGGCGGTCGGAAATCTCGTCGGAAAATTTTCAAAAATTTCCCGGGAAAATACACCGACCGGCGGGAAAATGATAGGCGCAAAAGGAGAGAAGAGAGAAACGGAGAGGAGAGAGAGAAAGGAAACCCTAAAAAATGGGAGGCCGAGAAAGAGGACCAATTACAGCCGTGCACGTCACCTTTGTTTTAAGAAAATAGTTCCAATTTTTTAGGGTTCTATTGTGAGGCGCCAAAAATTTTCCTTAAAAATCTAATTAATGACCTAGTTATGCATGTGGTAGTCATAAATGTACAATAAATTTTTTTTTTCTTTTTTAAGTAAGAAGGTCCATTTTCTTATTTGTCATGGTCAATGGTAATGGCTGACTTTTGCAATTTTTTTTACATAAAATGATTTTGCAATTTATTTGGTTAATTAAACCTTAATTGGAGACTGGATCCATGATTTTTTTTTTAAAAAAAATGCTTAAAGACACCGTTAAGCACTATTATTAATAGAAAATTGACCTTATTTGTGAGTCTATTACTGTGATTCATCTTCTATTAGTTGGGCAGTACCTTAATATTTGCTCTTTAAAAAAATAATTTTTTTGCTTTAAAAAAAAACTTAATTAGAGACTAATCTTATGAGCTTTGAGCGTCCGGAAAATAAAAAGTCAAATGCTATTTGACTTGGCTAGAATAAATAAGGGCTCAGCATGTGTCCAATCCCCCTATTTCTTCCCTCACGATAGCCAATATTAGATAAAAAAAAAAAAAAAAAAAAAGAACATTTCCAAGTTCCAACAAAGCTAATATTAGCAAAAATAAAATAAAATAAATAAAAGCTTTGTAAGTAGCTTTCTTGCAATTATCACAAACAATAGGTCAAAAATATTAGCGTTATTTTTTTGTCATTTTATTTATTATTTATTATATTTATTAATATAGTATTTTAATAAAATATATGTATCAAACAATAAATGTATAAAAATAATGACCCTAACATTTCTAAAAATAGGTTTAACAGCTCAAGAAATGAACTTAAAAGCTGTTGTTAGACAACAAGAAAGTACGTGGTAAAATAGAATATACTTTTAAATTGTATTCCAACGAATTTTATTAAAATATCATATATTTTTCTTAATTCGATAATACAATGATAATCCTTCCACAAAATTCTCTTATAAACAAAGTACTTGTATTTTATTTTTTTTTTCATGAGTAGACTTACGTGTTATGTTAATAGTAACTTGTGCTTTGCGTTCTGACGAAGAAGCAAGAGGATCTTGATTTAATTCGACTTGAACAAAAAGTCGCAATACTCTTTCTGCATGTATTGTCAATGGATTATCTTCATCAACAATAGAAATAGAAATAGAAAAAGCGGTATCACGCTATATATCTGCCATAATATGTTAAAGATGTATGGTTTTATTCAAGCAAAAAAAGATGTATGGTTTTATAATATATGCTTGGTTTGCCATAGAAATATCAATCTATATATATATATATATTGTAATATTTGCTCCCTTTTTTTCTCTCTATAAAATATTATAAATCCTACTTATTAGTATTGCACAAACTCTGAAAGTCACTTCCTTCAGACGGTAACTCTAAAGATCACTTTAATTATGAAAAAAGAAAAACTCTAAGGTTGTATTTGGAGTTGTTTTTATAACGAGTTCTAAACGAAAATTATGTACGTTTATAGATTAAATATAATGCATTCAATTGCCATTTGCCAACTCCAAAGAGAACATATTAAAATATATTTTTTTTAAAAGGATAATATATTAATTTTCGTGGTAGTGCAACGAAATATATATAGTCAAATGATATATAATTTCTTGAGGATAAATGGTATAATCAATTGATGTAAGCAAGACAGCATCCCGGCATGCTACATTTTTTATTTTCTTTTCCTTATGATGATATCGCAATTCAAGTGTAATAATACAACTATATTCAATAGGCTATAAATTAAAACGTCAATTTTCATATAGAACATTATTGTTTCAAAACTGTGGTCTCTTAAATAGAATACAGTTTTTAGTGTGTGTATTAATGTTATAAATAAGAAGTTTTTAAACGTCAAAGGGATGCGTTGTCTTATAAGAGGAAAGGAAAAATAACAATTGGCAGGCCTAAAAGTCATCCAAAGAGTGAAATTGAAAGCTTATATTATTATTATTATATATATTTTTTAAAAAAACGTATATTATTAAATTTTCATTATCGAGTAATTGGTTCTTCTTTAAAAAAGAAAACAAGAAAGAAATGTTAAAAATAAGATATCCATCATTCATTTTTTGTGAGCAATTGACTACAATTATGCAATTTAAATCATACCATGCATATAATATAGAATTGGATACTATGGCTATCTGGGAGAGTTTTTATTTTTATTTTTTTATAACACTGATACACTTTCTCCATATAAACACTTCTTGTTGGAGTCAACAGTTGCTCTAACGCAATATAGAAATGCCCGTTTAGTTCGTTGATTCGTATTTTTAATTCGAGTTGAGATGCGACTTTATGTGAGAGCTTTTTACTGTAACAAAAAAAGTTAGATGTGACTGTTTCTAAGAGTTTTTTACTATAATAAAACTCGAATTGGTGAAATGAATAGAACCTAAGATAGTCCTTTAATCACCACTTAGGAATCGTTTTATAGTCTTTCATCGAGGAAGACGAAAGACTATCAAAACAATACCTATTCATTTTTTTTCGTGAAATTATACTAATTGAGTGGAGCCATAAATTTTGCGCGAAATTATACTAATTGAGTGGAGGCCATATATATTCAGTCATCTCTACAACTCCCAATTTGATTCCTTATAAGCCCCTCCAATCTAGTTCATGAATCAATTAATAAATACTACCGTATTAGGGTAAATTAAGTAATTAGGAAAGATTTGGAGTCCTTTTTGAAACATCTTCTTAGATCCTAAGAGCATGGATTTACGATTGTTTGGAACAACCTAAAAACCTCGAACATGGACTTGGGTTACACGTACGTGTGATTTTGGCTATGTTGATTATATCTTTTGATGTAACGGAGTATTCTTTGTTAACAATAATATGGATAATACAAAGAATAATAATTTATAACAACTTATAAGAAGAACAAAATATAGAAATAGTTACAACACGAATTCAACCTTTCTATCAAATTTGAAAACGAATTACAAGGATGTCGAGACACGTGAACCGCACTTTTCTTAAAACAGATTCGTCCCCTCTGGCGAGTGCTTGAGGTAAGTAACGTTGGACATCCGTCTCCCAGGGTACAACGACAACGACGGTAGAACGACGCACTATCGGAACCATCTCAGTGAACTAGAAATGTACCTTTCCTCTATCACCAAAAACACACAACAAAAGGAAAAACGCACAAAGAACTCAAAAACAGAAAGAAACTCGAGAGAGAGAAGAGAATACTCGAAATTGTTGTGTATTGTTCTTGTGGAGTATGGCCTTCATATAGGCTCTAAAATCCGGGTGTTACACCATGACATTATGGTGTATAAATCCAGATTTATTCTCAGATTAATGGAGTTTAAACCAAAGGTTACAGCCCTTGATGAACCTGCTCCAAGCAATAATGCTGTAGTTTTTTGAAACCCTGCACTAATGTAGAGTTAATCATCCACTAATGCATTAGTTTCAGATTTCAGTTGAAAAAAAAAATAAAAAGAAAAATTGCAAAACAAAGCCCGCATGGAGCAAATTTTCCAATCCGATATTTGTGTTCGCAGGTCGCGAGCGCACACATTGGGCCCTTAACCCGCCCCCTACACATGAAAGAACCTCTCAAGTATACATGCTTAGCTAAGCTTCAAAGTGCAATCACTTATAAACACCACCAAGGCTTCATTCCTAGCCAATATGGGATTTTTACAATTTCCAACTACCTTAATCATACCAAGTAACATACTTGGGTGGCAATTCGGGTTGGCGGGTCGTGTTCGTGTCGTGTTGACCCCCTCAGTTGACACGAATAGGTCTGACACAAACATGACCTGTTTATTAATCGTATCGAAATACAAAACCCAAACACGACCTGTATATTGGTGGGTTGACACGACACGACACAAATAATCCGTTTATTAAACAGGTCATAAACGTGTCATATCAACCCGTTGATTACCTGTCAACCCGTTTATAAAATGGGTGATAAATGGGTCGTATTAACCTATTTATGAACATGTTTATAAAATAGGTGATAAATGGATCGTGTTAACCTATTTCTGAACCTATTTTTTAACATGTTTATAAAATGGGTAATAAACGGGTTGTATATTTGTGTTACCCATATATGATACGTTTAATAAACGGGTTATGGCGGGTCAATTGCGGGTTGGCGGGTGAACCTGAAAATGACACGTTATTTAATCGTGTTTCACGGGTTCGACCTGATTTTGACCCGTACCTATTTATGATAAACCCAAACCCGCTAATTTCATGCGGGTTTTGAGTCGTGTCGTCGTGTCGTTGTGTCACTACCCGGATTGCCAGCCCTACATACTTAGAACATCAATTTCTCATTCACCCAATATCCATTTTGAGTGCATGAATATTCGATTTCGATCTTCTTGTGACGGAAAATACAAATCCATCGAGACCCATCCCAAAATCCAATTGGGTCTCTTCCAAAATGAGCCTCAAAATGGACCTTTAATATAGCTTAACAAGTCATTTTCCAACATTCTTCACCTCAAGATCAAATTAACTATTAGACAATGAGGGTTATAACAGGTGTACCAAAAGAATGCTCCCACCATAGAGTCAATAATAATAATAATAATAATAATAAATTGTAAAATATTTTAGATACTAAACCCATCTAGTGAGGGCTTCTTGTGCACAAACGGTGATGCATTTCTTTAGAGCAAAGCAAAAAGCTCCATTGCGTGAGAATTTTGTGCTGCTATAATATATACAAGAATCCGAAGCTCTTTAGACTCTACTACATCCAATAGTTGCTAGTGGAGGAATGTAATTGAACATGAAACTATCACAAAGAGAAATTAGATGCCCAAGTAGTACTTCTATAGGCTACACTTTTTTCTCTTAGTTATAATAGTTCCCAAAAAGAATCTACTTTTTTCTCTGCAAGACAACCATATAAAAATCCTATATATGTCGATTAAGATTGTTCACTCACAAACCTACACAGTATTACTACTACATAACAATTTCAAAGCAAAACATAGTAGACATATAACTAATATTTAAGGATGTTGGATTGGGCTCCTGTTTTGCTTGGTTGGTTGCTTTTCATATTGCTCTCCCCTGGCCTCCTCTTCCGGCTACCTGGCAAAACCCGCCATGTTGAATTCGGCAGCTTCACCACCAATGGCACGGCCATTTTGGTACACACAATCATCTTCTTCGTCGTCTTCACCATCCTCGTATTGGCCGTCGACATCCACATCTTCACTGGTTCAAAATCACGATCATAGTTTCACTATTAATTCTGTAAATCTACATTTATATTATGATTTGAGAATTATTCTCCACTGAGTTTTTTCATATATGTTTTCCTAACTTTTGTGTTCCCTTATGTGATTGTTTTATGGCTTTAATTCAAAAGTTTTGGTCTAGCATTGTAGACCCCGAATGTTACTACAAGCTAGCTTTCGTGACTGATATAAAAAAGTCATGTTGTGTGAAATTTACCGCAAATGTACTTGAGAAACACACTACAACGTGCAAGGTTGAATTCTCCTTACATAATGAGATGACAAGGGGAACTTGCGCATCACAAAATAATTGGTTATGTGTTCTTTGATGGTTGCAAACTATGAAATGAATTTCGTCGTCTTCACCATCCTCGTATTGGCCGTCGACATTCACATCTTCACTGGTTCAAAATCACGATCATAGTTTCACTATTAATTCTGTAAATCTACATTTATATTATGATTTGAGATTTATATATTCTCTAAGGAGTTTTTTCATATATGTTTTCATAACTTTTGTGCTCCCTTATGTGATTGTTTTTTGGCTTTAATTCAAACGTTTTGGTCTAGCATTGTAGACCCCGAATGTTACTACAAGCTAGCTTTGGTGACTGATGTAAAAAAAGTCAATGTTGTGTGAAACTTACCGCAAATGTACTTGAGAAACACACTACAATGTGCAAGGTTGAATTCTCCTTACATAATGAGATGACAAGGAGAACTTGCGCATGACAAAATAATTGGTTATGTGTTCTTTGATGGTTGCAAACTATGAAATGAAATCAAGGCTAATGATAAATTATCTCTCCAACTAAGACTTAATCTGATATATTGTTTAAAGGGAAAACGAGACAAATATCCTATTAGTTGGTCTTAGATTTTCATCATTTATTATTAATTAATACTCTTTAATTAAATAACTATATTAGTCAAAAAAATACTAATTAAGAGTGAGTAAAAATATTAGAACAACGCATTCAAAATGTGAGTTTACCAATTTTTCTTGTTTAAACCCAAAAAGCTTATGAGCTTGTTGGAGTTGGGTCTTGGGAGTCACCCATTTGTCTTGTGAGCACCTCTCTCTAAGAGCCTAATAACAACACTGGCTTTATGGGTGAATTAAAAGAATCCCACATTCTCTGTTTGGTAGGATGGATGAAGAGATGGGGGGATGGAAAGAGTTTAAACGATAGAAAATGTGAAGGACTGAAAGGATTATGATAAATGTTCATATTATTTAGTAGGAAGGAGGGAGAGTTTAGATAAATGAATATTTATTTAATTATTATATTATGCTTTTTATCATTTCACATTAAACTTTTTTAAGAATAAATTAGTCTTTTCAAACATTTAATTGATGGATTGTATGAATCCTTGCATGAGTGAAAGAATGGAAAATGGTAGCCCGGGAAGGAGAGAGTCCCTCTCCGCCTCTCATCTCCCTCCAACTAAACAATAAATTAGAACTCTCCTCTATCTCACTCCTCTCTATCTCTCTCCTAGAAAAAGCAAAAGAGTAAGAAGACAGTAATTACTACTCTAACCAGTCGAATGAAAAAAGGGAGTGAAAATTGAAAGGATTGAATTACAACTACTAGTTAATAAAGATCGGCATAAAGGAGAAGGGATTAGCAATAGCTAAAAAAAGAAAAGGGGAATAAACCCATCTAGTAAACACATTCTAAAATATACTATTTATGTTGAAATTTGAAACTTAATATTCATATAAAAGTGACACAGGTGAATAATTTAACTTCACTACTCAGCCTAATTTACACTTTTTTGACCGAATGATAATTGACTTTATTAACAATGGATATCCTCTATAATAAAGAGATTTGGTACGTTGAAGATAATCTTCTAAAACATAAACATCTCCACTAATGGCAATATGGCATTAGCCATCTTAGCTAATTCGTGTTCTACTTTATTACCCGAAACATGCGCAAAGTCTTACCCTCCAATGACAAAACCTAAAGAGGAGAAAGATAACGAAGCTTCCACATTATGCTTCAAAGTATGTCTCCGTTCATTTCATTAATTCGAGTTTAGAATTTAAATTTTATTACAGTAAAAAATTCTCAGAAATAATCACATTTAACTTTTTTACTACAGTAAAAAGCTCTCACATAAAGTCACATCTCAACTCAAATTAAAAACTCGAATCAACGAACTAAATATGACCTTAGATTGTGCTATTTGTAGTCGGTGGTGTCTCGTGTGGGTTCAATACTTGTTGGACTTGCATTTCTTTAAGGAGCTTCGTTCATGGATTTTATTCTTTATTTTTATTAGACCCTTTAATTAAAAAATTATATTAATCTAAAAGGTATTAATAAAGAATAAAAGAGTAAAAATTTAAGGCCCGTTCGGTTTGCTAATTCGAGTTGAGATGTGATGTTGTGTGAGAGCTTTTTACTGTAGTAAAAAAGTTAGATGTGACTATTTCTAAGAGCTTTTTACTGTAGTAAAATTTGAATTCTAAACTCGAATCAACGAAAAGAATGGGGCCTACTCGTACAATTTTAAGAAAAAGTTTAATAAATTTATCTTTTTATTAATAATAGTACTAGAAGCTACTAATGCTCTCTCTCTTTTCAACTATACAATTTTGAATCGTCAAATTTTTATCGAAGTATAATAAAATTATTCATACTTTTCTTAATCTAATTTATGTGATCTAAAAAACAAAATCCGTATAGTAGTCGTACCATAAAAGTTTTTTCGTACAATGTTACAAAATTATCTTCATTTTTTTTGTATTTAATTAAGTTGAGCAGTTATTTAATGGCAATGCAAAAGGACGAGGACATTTACAAAGTTGGGCCCCAGATGAATGCCATCCCACACGAGAAGATGTGGGCTTCTCCCAGCCCAAAGCCCTTCAATTTCCCAGACTAAGGCCATTACAGTCCCTGTCCACTCCAATGGACCAAAACCAAATTGACCAATCGGCGACAATGATGTTTCAGCATGTGTTTCCCGTCCAATAAAAGACAAAATCCAGGAAAAAGAAAGAACGGGGACAAAAAATGGGAAAATACACTAATATCATATTTAATATCCATATTTAAAGTAAGTAACATATTTTTAAAATCATAATAAATTATAGCATATCACTTTACCCTCCTTATTCCAAAAAAATTCCATGTTATTATAACAAAAAAAAACTTTTTAATACAATATAATGAAGTTCTAAATCATAACCGACATAAACTTTTGTTGAATTGATCTGTTAAATTTACATTAAACTGATTTAGCAATTTCAACTAACAATGGTCTTTTTTTTATTCTTTATCAATTATTTAAAATAACAAAAAGAGAATTTTACAATGATGATGAGAAGAAGAAATTCCTTAGTATTAGATAATTTTAACTACCAAAGATGTTAATTTAATAAAATTTGACATTTACTAGTAAGATAATTAGTAAAATAAGATAATTAGAATAAGATATTTATTGGTGAATACAGTGTTAAAACGGTCATCGAAGTTCGGTGACTGGATATTCGGGTAAATATATTTACTAATAAATACGATATTTATTGGTAAATATGATATTTACTTGTTAATGCAGCGTTAACGGTCGCCGGAATCGATACTCGGTTTCCCGGGTAAATATGATATTTACTAGAAAATATGGTAATAAATGGTAAATACGGTATTTACGGGTAAATACAATGTTAAACGGTCATCATAAAACAGTCACCGAGAAAAAGGTCACCGGTTGTCAGAAAACGGTTGGCAGTTGCCGGAGTTGGTCGTTGGTTGCCGGATGTCGGAGCCGGCCGCTGGTCCCGGCCATGATGGACTTAATTATAATCTACCTATTTCAAAAAATATTTAAGGAGGAAAAGTTTAAAGGTATAATGTTTAAATTTTAAAATATCAAATTATACTATAATTTACTATTTTTAGAAAATATACTATAATTTAATAATCACTTTACTAATTATGCTATTTCCCTCCTTATCCTAACAAAATTCTATGTTATTATAACAAAAACAAAAACTTTTGTTGACAATATAATGAAGTTCTAAATCATAACCGACATAAACTTTTGTTGAATTGATATGTTAAATTTACATTAAAGTGATTTAGCAATTTCAACTAACACAGGTCTTTTCTTATTCTTTATCAATTATTTAAAATAACACAGAGAATTTTACAATGATGATGAGAAGAAAAAATTCTTTAGTATAATTTAATTTCAACTAGCAAAGATGTCAATTTAAAAAATAAGATAATTAGTAAAATTTGACAAAAAAAATCCAATGATTTTAAAACTATGTTGCAGCGGTGTAGTATTTTTTTTATAGTAAATTTTACTTTTTCATTCTAAACATTTCTTTTTTTTTTTTTTACATAAAGTTTCTCAAGTATTAAATTTGTATCTAAAACTATTTATTCTGTATCTTTTTAAATTTAATGTAATTTTGACCTAACCATTAAAAATTGACACTATCAATCGAACTGACGTATGAGAAAAACTCTTTTTTAATACATTTCAAACTTTTAATTTAACATATTACACCTAAATTTTAATACGAGGTCCAATACCCAATGAGACGGTGAGAATTACACTTCACTGGATTTGAACAACGAAAAAAATTTATGGTACAACAATATAATCTATTTATTTTTAATTATTTTACATAAAATTAAAAAATAAATAAAATTATTTTGGTATCTTATATTATAACAAAACATACTTTTAGTATTATGTGTATATTATAATATTAAAATGGTAGCTTGACGTTTGTAAAAATCTTTTTTCAGTACCGAGAAGCTAATTTTAGGATATGTAATGTTTAAACTATCATTCTTATCAATTAAATAGAAATCAGTATTTTTTTTAAATCTAAAAATATTTTAAAAATTAAAATATTTAAAAGAAAATAACAAAATAAAAAAGCTCGTGATTTTTTTAGATCTATTTTTTATGAATTAAATAGAATGGTGCTAAGGTCATTTTACATCTCAAAAATTTATTTCAGGGTACCAAAAGGTATTTTTAAAACCCTCAAGGTATCGTTTTAATATTATCAAAAAGACATGATACTAAGAGCATGTTTCACTATAACACAGGATATCAAAATGATTTTATCAACAACAAAAATTTAATTAGAAAATTTTCATATTAATACCTTATGTTTTAACATAATTATCTTTTAGTACTATGTATTTATAATAATTTTAAATTAGTACAACGACGTTTTAAAAAAATCATTTTTAGTACCTTAAGATCATTTTTTAAATGTAAAATGTCAAAATTAATATTTCCATTAATTAATAAAAAAACTAATAATAAATTTAGAAAAATTTTGAATTTTTTTAAACATTTAAAAAATATAAATAAAAATAATACTTTAAATTAAAAATAATTTTTTAAAATTTATTTGTTTAAAGTATAGAAAGATAATTAGAGGACGTTTGTTTTATATATTCAGAATTATAATTTAAAATTATTCTTATTTTATGTTTATTTTTTGTAAAAATAAATACTGTAGAGAATTATGAATTATGATTCAAAATCAAAGACGAATATAAGAAACAAATAAGAGACCGTCAATATGAAATTTTTCCCATCTAATTTGCTATCACATTAATATCAAGATAATCAGAGCCGTCGAACGTGAAACCAGAAGGCAAAGCCACGTTTAGCCATGCCATATGCGTCACTTGTCACGAGAAGCATCCGCTTTCAATGCACTTTGTCCCTTTCTGAATCTCCCAATTCCAAACCAGTAATTAAACCCACTATCCAATTTCCAAATCTCACCAAAATCCCCCTTACCTACCATTTCCTTTACCACCTTCGTTTCTCTCTCTAGAAAGAGATCCATCTTCTTCTTCTTCTTTCTCTCTCTAAATTACGATCACAAATCACAATAATAATGGCGGATTGGGGTCCGGTAATAATAGCGACGGTGCTGTTCGTGCTGTTAAGCCCGGGGCTTCTGTTTCAGATCCCGGCGAAGGGGAGAGTGGTTGAGTTTGGGAACATGCAGACAAGTGGCGGCTCCATATTCGTCCACTCCATCATCTTCTTCGGCCTCATCACCATCTTCCTCATCGTCATTGATGTTCACATCTACACTGGCTAAGCTAATTATTAACCCGTACTGCTCTTAATTAATTTGCTCATCATCGATTTCAATTCTTCTGTTTTATTTGCTTGTTTGTTATTTAATTGTAAACTTAATTAATTAGTTAATGTAGATTGTGTTTATATATATGAATTAAAAATGAGTGCATTTCTAAATTGAATTGTGAATTGCTGGATACCTGTCTCTCTGTTTTGTTTTCTTCTTTTTTTTTACAGTAATTTCTCTTTTTTTTTAAGTAATTTCGCTCATATAAATTTAAATCTAAGGACGAAACAGATCATTGATTAATGGTGAGAAAAAAGAAAAGAAAAAGAAAAAGACCTTGAGAAAAGTGTGTGTTGTCACACATAAAAATAGGTAAAGTGGTTTATATTCTTTGAAGGATTTTAGATTTAATAGGTTAATTTTTTAGTTAAATTGAGCTCCTGAACGGTGTTTTTGTATGTGAAGTGTTTTTAATAAGTGATATCGGACTAGATAATTCGTATAGATCATCACACTCAGTTAGTATTGTCACAATTAATGTTGTTGCTGCTCCAAATGATGGAGCATTTGGTAGACTCGTTTAGTTTCGGCTCTCTTTCTCGTACTGGAGTTTGGCTTCAGTTAACTCCTATTTGGTTCAAGGATGTTGATAATACAAATTCCAGGAAAACAACCCTAATCTGTAAATTTTTTGTTGATCTTATGGCTTAGTTAACTAACTATTGAAAACTTTTAAATGAATTTATATAAAAAAAATACTGTAATATAAAATGTTGAACTTGAATTTTGACGTGTTTGAGTTGAAAATTTTTAAATGAATTTATATTAGAGAAAAAACTGTAATATAAAAAGTTAAATTTGAATTTTTAGGTGAAAAAATAAGTAGCAAGAAATTTGAATCCCGATTCGAATTAGAGTTTGTTTGCTACTAGCTGTATCAATGCGGGTGTGTGATTACCGTTGGGTTTGTTTCTGGTTTTTTGGTTTCTTAATTTACGGATTGAAAAGTCTCTTTCTAGCAGACGAACAGTGATGTTGTAGATGATTAATCCGGTTTCTTGTCATTTATAATAGTGTTTATATATTAAGCATAGATGTCTTCTTTAGTCGCTTATTTGAAAATGTAGTTTTAACTCTGATTATTTTAGGTTTCTTTATGGATAAAGCTGCGCCGACTAATTTAAATGTATGCTCATAATGTCCCTTCGGCGACATTCGATGAAATGTATGCTCATAATTTACTTTTGGGGGCGTCTATTTACACTATTTTTTTAGTTTTTACATACATATTTTAAATCACCTCTAATTCTAATTGTTACACCATTTTTAAAATTTCAAAAAAGTTTCTACAACTAAATCACTTCATATTACTTTTCACAATTGTTACATCCATATTATTGTATAAGTAAATAGCCTTTTATTTAGTGCATTTTTAATATAATTTCAGATTATAATAATTTATACGAAATGCTTCATTACCAAAAATAAAAAAGAAATTGTGAAATTGAAATAAACAATTTGTACATGGAACTTATAAAAAAAAAAAAAAAAGAATTCGTACCTTTACGTGTTTATTTTTATTTTTATCAGCATTCATACCTTGACGTTGAAAGTTGAAATTCAATCTTGACGTTGAAAGTTGAAACTCATTTCTTATCCTCCTAGAGAAATGGGGCAAAATGATTTTCAGCCTAGAATATATATATATATATAGAGAGAGAGAGAGTTGGATTTTGTGATGAGTATTTTTTTTTAAGCACTTTCATTCTTAAAAGTTTTTAATGGTGGGTTGTGTAACGAGTATTTTTTAAAACACTACTGTCCTTAAAAATAATTTTATGAATGGGTAATATAATAATATTAAAAAATAATGTATAAAAAGTAAAAAAAAAAAAATGGGTGTCAATTCTAATTTCTCTAAAAAATAACGAAAAAATAGAAGTGCTAAGTTAGGCTAATTTCGCAGGTTCTACAAATCGATCATGCCTAAATTGGATTGTATATATCACTTGTCTAAATTGGATTATATATCACTTTGAAGTTTAGTTATTCCTCACACCGTGATGAGAAAGTAAGTTTTATTATTATTATTATTATTTATTTTGAAAGGGGTATTTATTTGAATTCCAAATCGGCAGAAATGCGTAAAATAAGGTCTTGTTCATTTCATCGATTCGAGTTTAAAATTTAAGTTTTGTTACAGTAAAAAACTCTCAGAAATAATCACATTTAATTTTTTTGTTACAATAAAAAATTCTCACAAAAAAATTAAATCTCAATTCGAAACTATACGAACTCTAATTGTCTCTCATACTCACATTTTTTATGTCAATCAATTGAATACACGATCTTTTTGCAATTTCCTCTCACGACTCTTTTTTTTTTCCTCGCTCCAAAATCATATGCACGTGAGTCACACGAGCGATAATCACGATTTATTTTTCCACGGAAAAACATGTTTTTTTTTATTTTTATTTTTTTGTTCTTGTGTTTTTCTTCAGTGATTGGATTAGATCCCACTGAGTGACTTCACCTGACTTCCAGAAGGTCGTCCGCTCTCTTTAGCAACCAATGCTGATTACTCCTATGGTGGCCTTTTATCTTTTTATGCTTATTCCGAGCTATGTATATGGTGGCCTCTCACAAATTGAGGGGGAAAAAAAAAAAAAGAAACAGAGCCAGAAAAATTAGTAGACGTTTGGTTCATAGATTTAGAATTATAATTTATAATTATTCTCATTTTATGTGTATTTTTTGTGAAAAAAAATACTGTAAAGAATCATAAATTATAATTCAGAATCAGTGACGAATATAAGAAATAAACATTAGTTGGTGAGCGAGACATGATTGAAGTAATGAGGTGAGAAAAGTAAAGAGATGTAGAATTTTAAGGAGGCAGGTTATAAATTTTATAAAAAAAGTCACAAGTGGGTGACTCGTCCCTTTCTAAGTATGAATTATTAGCTGAGTGTAAACATGGGTATTTTAGTAAATCTTCTTTTATCTAAAGGTAATCTTAATAAATACTTTTTAAAACTACATAAGTTAGGATTTTTACTTTTTACTCTTAATTTATAATTTTTTTAATTAAATAATTACACTAATAAAAAAATATTTATTAAAAATAAAAGATAAAAATCTAAATTTATATACCTTTAAAAGTAAATTCTCAATTTTTTGTTTATCTTTAATGGACAGAAAATAATGAGTAAAAGAGGACATGTAAATTCCTTGCTTTGGGCCCATCTCAAAGAAGATAAAACTTTAAAGTGGAACAATCACAAAGAAATGATGAAAGTGGAAATTGACAGTGCACATATTTATCATTGGAGTTAGTCAAAAACACATAAAAAAGAAAGCAAGTAGTAAATAGTATATTTATGAAATTAAATTACGTCAATAATAAAATTTAAAATTATTTAAAATAAAGAGTAATTTATGTGATAAATGAATCATTTACCGCGTAAATAATTCATTTTATAGTTAGTGAAAATATTTTTTCACGTAAATTTTCTTTTCACGATTGGTAAAAGGATTTATTTTCACGTAAATAAAGATTTTTTTACCACGTATGTTATTTTTTAGTCTTAAATAAATCTTTTATATGTTAAATAATTTATTTACTAAATAAATTACTATTTATTTTAAATAATTTTAAAATATGTTATTTGCTTAATTTTTCTCAAAGAATACAAACACAAGTAATTTTTAGTACTAATTAGTGGCCGAAAACAAATGGCCGCTAGTATGTTTTTTCCTTCTCCAAGTCATGCCGCGGAAGTCTCCCATTAAATAACATTTGTTTTTTTTTTCTTTCTTATTAAAAACTTCTCAACAAAATCTTTGCAAATTTAGCTCATAAGATATTTAGTATAAAGATTCATGTTATGATTCGTGACTTGTTAATATTTACTTTTATAAAAAATACACATAAATTAAAAATAATTTTAAATTATAATTTTGGATATTTAGTATAAAGATTCATGTTATGATTCGTGACTTGTTAATATTTACTTTTATAAAAAATACACATAAATTAAGAATGATTTTAAATTATAATTTTAAATCTGTGAATAAAACGTTCACGTGTTTTCAATAAAATAATATTTGGTTGAGAGACTTAATTATGAGATCAGCTTGCCCCCACACGACCAAATCCATGAACCACTAGTCCGTAGTATGGAATCAAATTAGGGGGATTTGATTGCATTTCCCACCCACACGTTAAGCCCTCTTTGGTTGTATGTCCAGATCGACAGTTATGCATGAGCTAATTAACACCGCAAAAATATCTAAAACAAAAATATTTATGAATTTTAATTAAGCTAATTAACACAACAAACTTTCAACGTTGAAATTAGGTAAGTTAGATAGATTTGTAAATTTTAAAAGAAAAATTAATTGTGATTTTTAAGTTAGAATTTACAAACTAAAATAATAAAATTGTAAAAAATATGATAAATTTGTGAACCGATTTAGTGTTATGAAAGCACCATAGATGGGGCTATCCAAAGAAAATGATATTTTCGTAGGGTCGAATAAAAATTACGATAAATTTGTGAACCAATTTGGTACTATGAAGGCACCGTAGACGGGGTCATCTAAGGAAAATGATGTTTCCAGCGAGGTCTAAGATCTTCCTACTTTGATAAAATATCCATGAAAAACGAGAAAAGACAAGAAGAAGAAGAAAAAGTTACTGTTTTAAATATTTATATTTTTATACTATGTGTTTTAGATTTATTCAAAAATTATATTTTCAGTATTAATCTCATAAAATATATATATTTAAATTAGATTTAATACTCAAATTTATATATTTTCACAGTCAACTCTCAATTTTAAGTATAAAATACCTAAAGTACCGTTAAATAAAAATGAAAAAAGAAAAAAAAAACTTTAAACTTACGGTTTTAACCTTAAAAAATCTAAAATACCATTGAAATGAGTTTTTTTGTGTTTTTAAATTTTATTTTTTGTAGTATTGAAAAGTTTTAGTTTTATTTGCTCTCTTTTTCTTAAGGATAGTTTGGTCATTTTAATGGTCAAAATCAATTATTGACTGAGATAAGAGATATATTTGTATATTAAATTAAATTTGAAGGTATACATTTGATTAGATAAAAATCCAAAGATATAGATTTTGAATAGGATATAAAAATGTAAATATCCCTGAGTGTTTTTACCTTG